CCACACGCGACGCGGCTCGGCCTGTGGAGCCCGCCCACATAGGGAAGGGGTCTGCACTGGAGCGCAGGTCGTGGAGGCTTCCGCTCGCCTGGCGTCGAGCATACAGCGCCGGTTTTAATACATGCTCCGCGTGCGGATCATTTATTAGAAATGCAGGGACTTAGTATGAAAAACAACGATGAGTTCATGCATACACGTATTCATACAGTGATCATGTATTAAACATCCAATATGTTTTTAAAATCCTATGTATTAAAAACTGCCCTGTACAGTGGGGGCGCGCCTCAAGAAACCATGTGCTTTTCGTCAGGGTGCCCTGGGTTTCTTCGCTCCGCGCGCTGCGCGGCGACTTCCCGCGGCCACTGAAGGAGCTGCTGCGTTCGGGGTGCTCCGGGTTTCCCCTCGGGTGCATCTCGCGCGCGGGTTCTCAGGGTTGGGTTTCTTGCGAGGGTTTCTTGCGGCCGCGCCCGCACTGTATGGATTCCTATTCCTGTTTTTTTATAGGGCCGGGAAGCCCGGGAAAAGCGCACAGCTCCCCCCCGCCCCCCCCGAATTTGACCCACCCAGGGCAACCCTCCAGACGACCTGGGAGAACCCCACGAAGGCCCGAAGCCCCAGAGGGCTCCAGGCGTTCCGAAGCGCTCCCAAAACGACCCCAGAGAGCCCCAAGACGGTCCACGACGACCCCAAAGACGCCGTCATACCCCCAAAGATCGTTCCAAAACGTCCCAAGAGGCCTCCAAGAGCTCTCCCAAGAAGGCCCCAAGAGGCAAAACTAATTGGTTTTCTGTTGGTTTTTGGTGAATTTCTGGGTTTTCCGTTTTTCGGCTTCCCGATGTTCCAAGACGGCCGTCGTCTGGGTGTCCGAAGCCGCTTGGGACGCTCGAAAGTCGCCCCGCAACCATCCGAAAGGGCTTCAAGGCAGACCAACAGAGCCCCAAGACGGCACAACAGGGTTCCAAGATGGCCCCAGAAAGCCCCATGACGGCCCAAGATGGCCCCAAGACGCCCTCCGAAGCATTCCAAATCGTGATCCGGTCGCTCAGGGAGACCGTGGTTGCAGGGTGGCCCGAGGAAGCCTCCAGAGGCCCTCAGAAGATGCCCAGGAGGCCTCCAGAATGCCTTAAGAAAGCATGAACAATTTCCGTGAGGCCACCAGAGGCTCTCCAAGGAGGAGCCTCCGCAAAAAGATCTGAGGAGGATGGGGAGAATAATTCCGCAGGGTAGGGCGAGAAGAACGAAAAGGAAACATGGAGGAAGGAAAACGAAAAACATTGTGATAACGGCGATGCTGGAAAAGGCAATAATTAGTTATCGCCACATTGTTGGTTTGACCTTCCTGCCATTCCGCCCATACCAAACTTCGAGGACCAAGGTGCATGGCGCTAGGCGCTAATGCAGTGTTTTGTGTGTATGTATATATATACATACACATATATATATATATATATATATATATATGTATGTATACACATATATATATATATATATATATATATATATATATATGCCGGCGGAACAGGAGCGAGGCCGCCAGGAGTGGACCTGCGCCCCCCATGGGGGCTCCGGGGCTCACTTTCCGAGGCCGCCAGGAGTGGACCTGCGCCCCCCATGGGGGCTCCGGGGCTCACTTTCCCTTTGTACAGGGCTTCGGCGTTCCAGGGCCTCCGAGGCGCCAGCGTTCCAGAGCCTCCGAGGCGCCCGCGACGGTTCCAGGTGGCTCCGGGGCTCCCTTTCCCTATGTTTTTACAGGGTTTCGGCGTTTCAGGGCCTGGGAGCAGGCCCGAAAACAGCTGCCTCGACCCTCCATGGGGGTACCGGGGCTAATTTTCCGTGTGTTTTTAAAGGGTTTCCGCGTCCTGGGCCTCGGAGGCGGCCGCCTCCGACCCCCCATGGGAGGACGGGGCGGCCGGGGAGGTCCAAAATAATCCAGGAGGGCCTCCAGAGGCTCCCAAGACGGCCCAAGCGGGCCCCGAGTCGCCGAAAGACAGCTCCAGGACGCCCAAGATAGGCCCAAGACGGCCCGAGAGGCCCCCCAAGGCACTCCACGACGCTTCAAGACGCCTCTCCAGAGCGCTTCAAGAGGCCGAAATCGTCAATTTTACGAAGGTTTTCGAACGATTTTGGCCTTCCAGCCTTTTCGGCTGTCCGACGTTCCAAGACGGCTCAATAGGCCCCCAAGAGCGCCCCAAGACGGCCCAAGAGGGCCCCAAGACGGCCCCAGAGTCGCCCAAGACAGCCCAACAGAGCCCCAAGACGGCCCCAAGATGCGCCCAAGAGGGGGACCACGACTCCAAAATTCGACCCTCCCGCTTGAAGAGTGCCCCAGGAGGCCCCAAGGAGGCCCCAAGAGGCCCCAGGAGGCCCCCAAGAGGCACCCAGGAGGCCCAAACGAGGCCTAAAGAGGCCACAAAACAGCCCCGAGGAGGCCCCACAACGGGCTCAAAACGGCTACCGAGAAGCTGCGAAACTGCCTTCACGACGTCCCCGACAGGCCAACCACGAGATCCAAACCAACACCTATAAGGCCTCTGACCCACCACCCAGGGCACGGTGGCGGGAGCAGTGACTGCACTTGTGCACAGCATCCACCACCCAGGGCACGGTGGCGGGAGCAGTGACAGCACTTGTGCACAGCATGTTCCGGCGGGAGCCTTCCGGAACACGCTGCAGGAGGAGGAGGAAGATCAGGAGGAGAGAGAGAGCTGGAGTGGGAGGAGGAGGGGGGGGACGAGGAGGATCACCACCCACCAAACCACCCCAACCCAACCCGAAGGCCTCAATTTGCCCTCTATTTCCAGTTGGGGGGTGTCGGGGAACACTGAAAAAGCACACATGGAGCCCGTACCCCCCCCAACCCGAAATTGGGGTCTTCGGGTTGGGTTGGGGTGGTCTGGTAGGTAGTCAGAGGAGGAAGAGGCATCCAAGACAGCTCCAAGATAGCCGAAGAGGCTTCCAAGAGGGCCCTGGGCGGCCCACGAGGGCCCCAAGGCGGTGCCTGAGGCGCCCAAGACGGCCCGAGAGGGCCCCAAGACGGCCCCAAGAGAGGCCCAAGAAGGGAAACACGAACCGAGAATCCGAGCTTTCTACCCCGAGAGGTTCTCGGGAAGTCCCAAGAGGCCCCCAATCGGATCCAAGAGGCCCCCAAGAAGCTCCCAAGAGGGCCGACGAGGTTCCAAGAGATCTCCCAAGGTGGCCCCAAGAGGCACAACTCATTGTTTTACGATTGGTCTTTGATGGGTTTTACCTTTTCCGGCCTTTTGGCATCCCGATGCTCCAAGACGGCCCAAGAGGCTTCCAATACCGCTCCAATATAGAGGAAGAGGCCTCCAAGAGGGCCCCAAGACGGCCCGCGAGAGCCCCGAGACGGTGCTTGAGGCGCCCAAGACGGCCCCAGAGGGCCCCTAAGAGCCCCAAGAGAGGCCCAAGAAGGGGAACGCGACCCAACAGCAGAGCGTTCCCCAAAAAAGGCCCACAGGAGGCCGCAAGAGGCCCCCAAGTGGTCCGACGAGGACCCCAAAGGCTTCCCGAGGGCCTAAAAGGCCCCTAGGAGACGTCCAAGAGGCTTTAAAATAGCCCAAGAGTGCCCTCGATGCGTCAAAACTGCTTCCAGGAGGCCCCCGGGAGGCTTCCGGATTGCGTCAATCTGGCCGCAGGTGGCCTCAAGTCGGGCCTCCACGCAGCCAAGACGGCCAATGACGGCTTCAGATTGCAGAACCGATGTCCCCAAGGGACCCTCAGACGCACCCCAAGACGCACCCAAGAGGTGCTTCCAACAGCAAGTTGACGAAGCATGCGGAACACCCCAGAAGCTCCTCAGATGCCGTCGCGCGCGTGTGCTTGATAGCGTTGTCCAAGATCGTCCAGCGCCCCCCCCCCGGCCTGGGCTAGAACCTGAGCGCGCGCGAAGCGCGCGCGATGGTTCTAGTATGTTTATATATATTTATATTTATATATAATATGTGTATACATTCATTGATTATTGTTTATCCATGTAGTATTATTATCATTTTGATTGTATTTTTTCTTTTCCTTTTTTATTTCTTATTCTTTTTAATGATATATATATATATATATATATATATCGGCGGCCAGCGCCAACAGTCGCCAAACGTCGCTCCATAGCGCCTCGTAGCGCTGAGGGAGCGCTCAAGCAGGGCCCAGTAGCGCCCAATATAGCACCACGTGAGGGCCATGCATCATGTCCGCTTTTCGCGCGACCGGGCGCGCTATGGGGAGCCATGGGGGCGACCAAAAGCTTCTAAGTTTACACCTCCTGGGGGTCCGCGTTGCGACGAAGCCACGGCGTCATGGGCCGAAGCCTGGCGGCGCCCTCCGCGCCGCACCGCAGCGTGCGCTCACTGACGGGTGCTGTTTGGAAGCCAGCCCGGGAATGGCCACTTCAGGGTTGGTGCCGGCGTGGGGTCTGAGGTGGCCCAGCGTTGGCTCCCGCGAGCAGGAGTGGGGGGGCGAGGCTTGAGGTTCTGGGCTCTTGAGGGTTACCTTTTGTTTGTCTGTTGTCGTCTTGCCTTTCTCGCTCTTCGGGGGCCGTTTTCGGGCCCCTCGAAAACGGATCCGGGGTGAAACATGGGCCCAGATGGGCTCCTGGAGTTTCAGGGCCCCCGACAACAGAAGCTTTCGGAGGTCCGCGCGGATTTCTTGGATCTGTGCTGGACACCCCAGGCACCAGGCGGCGCGTCGGGCGCCGCCCCTGGCGCGCTCCTCGCGCCCCCGGGGGGGGGGGGGGTCAGCGCCGATCCAAGAAGTGTGCGCGGGCCTCCGGAAGTCTAGGCTTACGCCGTTTTTTGCTTGTTCTTTTAGTTGCCCTCCGTCGGGGGATGGTTCGGCTTGCGGGGTCGTTGGCCCAAGTGTCGTTGGCGGAGTCGCCGTCAGGAGGGTGCTGAGCGCCGGGGCCTGGGGGTGCGGGGAGGGGGCCCCAAGACATACGCGTGGGCCTGGGGGGTCTTATGCCTGTGCGGTCTTCTCTTCTTCTGCGTCAGTGGCCCGAGTGGCCAGCAACCATCCAGCTGCACGACGTGCTGGACCAGCGTGTAGCGAAGGAGTTGCCGCCCTCCAAGTCGATGGAGCCGATGGTGCCCTCGATGGGGAGGGACTTCCACATGAAAATGAGCCTGCTGTCCCAGGAGGGGCTCAACCGACGTTTGAAGTCGTGCACTCCTGTCTTGGACCCTGAGCTGAAGGTTTTGATACCTCACAAGATTCTGCTATTGTTAGTCATGCTCCACGATATGGTCGTGATCCCATACATCCTGGCGTGGGATGTGCCCTTCACGGGTGAGACTCTGGATAGCGCAGAGATCGCGGTGGCATTTTGGATTTTGGACATCTGCCTCTGCTTCTTCATCGGCTTCTACAAGGACGGCGAGCTGGAGAAACGCTGGAGGGTGGTTGCCCGGAACTACTTCACCACGTGGTTCTTCCCCGATCTTCTCGCGATCGTTTGTGACTGGGCGAGCCTGCACGAGCTCTTGTCGGAGGGAAGGGGGGGCACCCGCTTTACCCTTCGGGTGCCCGGCCTCCTGCGAGCTCACAAGCTCGTGAACATGTACAGCGCCGTCTTGGACAAGGTGCTTTCGGAGGGCAAGCGTATGGCCATCCAGAGCTGCGGCGTGGTGGTCTTCATCCTCTGGGTGAACCACATCATCTGCTGCACGTGGTATTCCATTGGCAGGAATGCGCCGACCGACACCGGTGGGCGCTGGCTGGATTCGCTGGACTTTAACAGTATCGATCACTTCGACGCCACGCACACTCTCTACAGATATGTAACCGCGTTTCACTGGTCGATCGGGTCCATCACAGCTGGCGGAGTGGAGAATCTTTTTGCATTGAACAGCTATGAGCGCTCGTTCAGCATTCTAGTCCTGGTTGGCGGGCTTTTTTTATTCAGTTCACTCATTTCCACCTTCTCGGCAACGTTAACTCAGCTGAAACTGATTGAGCAAGAGAAGACACAGCATCTGCGAGCCCTTCGCCAGTATCTGAGCCAGAACAACGTGAACGAGCACCTGAGCATACGTGTGCAGAGACAGGTAGCAGAGCGCATGCGCAGGAGAGACCGGCTGATAGAGAAGAACGTGAAGGCCCTGTCGATGCTCTCCCTGACCATGCGGGCCGAGCTGCGCGGGGACGTCATGGGGCCCTACCTGACGAAGCACCCCCTCATCCGAGTCTGCAGCTTCGTGGACTGGCGCATCGTGCAGGACATCTGCGGCGAGGCCCTCGACCGGCACCTGAAGATGCCCGGCGACAACCTCTTCGTGGCCGGGGGGCCCGCCGCCACGGAGGCCTTCCTCGTCATCTCCGGCCGCCTGGAGTACTTCCTGCGGGCCAGCTCTGGCCTCGTGGAGGCGGACCTCAAGGAGGACAGGGGTGGTGGCCGCGCCGTGTGTCTGGGCGCCCGAAATGGGCAGGGAAAGAATGGGTACAATGCCCAACAGCAGTTCCTGTGCATTTTGAACGGGATTCGCTGTCCACGCCGCCGCGGCCTGTGTCCATTTGAGACAGAGGGCCGCCTGCCCAACAGCGGCCGCTGTTGGTTTGGGACACCATTTGCTGTTGGGCATTGTACCCATTTTTTCGGTACCCATGTCGGACGTCCAAAGTGTGGTGGGTCGGTGGGGCTTCGGGGCCGCCGCACGGTTCTGGGACGCGGGTCCCTCTCCGAGGACGTCTCGGGCGACTGGGGCACCCGGGGTCCCAAGACCGTGCGTTGGGTCTTGGGGGATTGCGAGGTCACCGCACGGTCTGTCACCGCACCGTTTCGGGACTCCAGAGAGGACATCTGCGCGGGCGCCTGGCTGTGCGAGGCGGCCCTGTGGACGCAGTGGGCCCACGTCGGCAGCGCCGACGCGGTCGAGGCGAGCGACGTGCTGGTGATAAGCACGCAGGCCCTCCTGAGGGAGCTCCTCAAGAACAGCGTCATCGCGACCATCGTGCGGGAGTACGGCCGCCAGTTCCACGCGCGGCTCATCGCCTCCTCGCCTCCGTGCTCCGCGTGGCCGACCGACAAGGAGATACCCTTCACCGACTTCGGCGAGCTGGTGCTGTCCATGACCCCGCAGGTGCAGACGCTGGTGGCCTCGATCACGCTGGAGGGCGTGCGGCGGAGCCACCCGCACAGCTTCCCCCCCGGCACACTGGACAGGCTCGAGGACTGGAGGAACAAAAAGGCGGTGTGAGCACAAGCTTTCGGAACTCCGCGCGGATGGCCCCTTGGCGGCGCCCTGGGCGCCGCCCCCGGGCGCGCTCCTCGCGCCAGGGGAGGGGGCGGTGGTCCAGCGCAGATCGAAGAACTCCGCGCGGACCTCCGACAGTTTACGGCCTGCCGTTTCTCCTGCCCCTCATCCGCCTCATTCCTGAACAGTGG